ATGCAGTCATTAACTCTTCATAAACCTTCAACTTAAACTAATGGTTACTGCTTCTGTTCTAAAATGCATCAAAGAAAGAAACATAAAGAAACGTTTGAAAAAAATGGCCTAAGGCTACCGTGAGTATTTCAGGAAAATTGGACTTTGAGTAAATTCATCGAAAAGTAAACAGCAATACGAAGTATTGCATTATTGGTGCTGACAACAAACAGGCTACTTTATTCCTGTTTTTAGATTTCGATCAAAACACATGAAGTTTTTAAATGAGATATATTCGTGTAATACAGATATGTGCTGTTGCGATCGTCACGGGTATCTTCGGGATGGAGTTGTTTGCATGAGCAAAACTTCCCTTATTTGTTATGTTCGCTGTATTCGCAGCTTTCAAACCTTTTCCTATTAAGAATGGAACAGAACAGAATGACAGAGAATAATTATAAAAGTTACTATAAAATAAAACACTAAAAATAAGGGTCAAACTTCAATTTGATCCTATGGTTTTCGAAAGCTTATAGAAAGTTTTCATACGTCTTCTGTAAATTGTATTGATCAGCAAGTTTTTCATGGTCATGATGTATTTTTTACAAGATAAACTTTGTGCACATCAAATAATGTTTGAAATGTCGAATAATATGAGGGCATGTAACTTTTGTTTTCTTCACTTCCGACCCTTTAATCTTCTAACTTATGTTAGCAGTTCAAATGGCGGAAGCTCAAAAAAATTAAATTGCAGCACGTGAAGTAAAAGGTGGAACGAAGCCTTCCGTTATATGCAGAACAGTTGTATAGGATAAAAACCGAGAACAGAAAACTGTTAAAGATTATAATCATGTAAGATATGTTTTACGATATTAAATCCAGCATATATAGTCAGTAATTCATCCAATTAGAAAGTTAATGATATATCAAAAGGGCAGGCAGCATAATGCTTTTTGGCATCTGATGTTGTGTTCCAATCTTTTTTATCAAGGTCTCATGTCAGAATGTCTATTCCCTTTGAATAAGTTTTTTTTAAAGCGTAGGTACGTAGATCTACTAGACTCTTCAGTCTCTCGTAATAACCAGAAAAAAGTCTTGGCCATGTTTGCCCAAAGAACATCTCATGCATTGGTCGTTTTCTTAACGTTAATTCCTTTGAGCCAGCAGTTCACTACACCTTGCCTCGGTACCACCAGGCATGAAAGGGGTAGAAAGTCGCTGACTTGGGAACAATAAGGGTAGCGTAATATTCCGGTGTGGTCATATCAGAATGGGTGAGAGATATGGCTATGCTGTCCGGTATGAACGCCTCATAGGACTGCAATACGTCTCGACCAACCTGATAGTTGCTTATTCAATGTGACAATCAACAAGCTTAACCTGGGCTGCTGTTGCCCATGACGTGAAAGCGATGCTAGGGATGTAAGTTGCTGCTGTACCGGCTGAACGAATCGAATATGCTACTTGCTCTCTCGCTTCTACTTTTCCTCATGCATTAGCCAGCATACTTATTTCGTAATTTATGTGCTCTATTAGTACTTACAGTGAAAAGAAAACATAGGTTAATTAAAATCTAATCCAAACTTCTACAAGTAATATAACCAAGACATTTTTAATGGTTGTAATATATGTTTAATATTATACGTGATATAGGTATGATCTTACCCTACACAAAGCCAAATTTCAGTGTTGCATTTACAGACCGAAGCTGTAATAATAACATGGAGCAATGGTCTGCTTAATTGATCCTGGCGGAGTTGAATTTTCTTATTAACCATGAAATTTCCTCGTGCAAAAAATTTGTCATACGTTGTTTCAGACCATGCCTGCTCATTCCGGAGAACGTTGAACTCAAAACAGAGCGGTCCCGGGTCTAGTTCAGGTGGAAATCACTTGCTTTCGATCTGAGGTTGATATATTAGTCCTGCGGGAAGGAAATAGGCAACTACACGTTACGCTTGCCACTGCGCTTTTGTCGACTTTCCCTTTACAGAAATAAAACACTCGTAAATGATGGCATTTAAATGGAAGTCAGCAACTTTCCATTAATTTCATGAGAATGAACGACAGAAATGACTCACTCGTGAAATTTTAAGATTGACACTCCAGCGGTTGCAAATATGCCAACATTTTTTCTAGCTGATTCTTTTCAGTTTCTAGAAGCAAGTGGAGAGTAAAATTTTGCCATATTATCCCAGGGAAGTGACAGTTTATGAAAACGAAACAGCATCTAGGATAACATGTTTCATTCAGACTTTGCCTTGCAACAACCCAAACAAAGGCATGATTAATAAATACTAGGATAGTAGAAAATCAGTAGTGTGTCACTGAGCAGCCCGCTACCCAGTAATTGATGAAGCTTACTAAAGTGAATTTCTAATGACATCATAAAATGGATAAAAGCATTATTTGACAAAAACTCACTGAAACTTTTTTGCTGTTAACACTGTGTCCATTATTGAACAGGTATGACAGAAAAAGTGGTTTCGCTAGGCTAACAGGAATCCCGCCTTTCACACTTTTGTCATGATTGACGGGTGTTCGTATGGTCTCAGTTTTCAAAGTCTGATTGACTCGTGAAATCAAAGATGCTAAGTCTCTCTGAACTTTAATAAGTGAGATGACGTCGTCACTAGACTGCACAGAGATCTGTTATGCATTAAATTTGGTTGTAACAGTTACTGACGAACTGAAAATATGCACAGTCAACCCCTCGATGATTCATTGGTTCGCAAGCTGCCTTTCCGCTGTCGCCAATCTGTAAAAGTCAGTAGAAAGAAGCAAGAAGTATCGCCTCATGGAGAGCAACCAGGTAGTAATATAAAGCTTTGCCTTTTAATTTTGCATGCTGCTTCCTTTAAACATATCAAGTATTGGGACGATGCCATGGTTGTAAATGTTCTGCGGTCGTCTTAGGATAGAAATATTTAAAAGTGATGGAGCTCCGCCTTATGGGGGACTAATGGGGAATTTGCGTAATACTCTATTCCAGGAGCTGTGCACTTATTGGTCATTCCACGCATTCTGAGCAGGGCCGGATTAAGACGTGGGCTTTAGGGGACACAGCCCAGAGGCCTCCGCCAGCGGAAAGATTTTTCATTTGTGACTGCTGCCTCAGAGTATAAGTCTCTAAACTGTCAATATGTATTTCAATACTCGACAAGTGCTTTAAGCAATTACTCAAATAATACAAAATTTATTATGTACCAGTTCTGTAACGTTTCGGATCATGCTTGATCCCTCTGCAGGGAGCGACATATAACAGATATGACGTTACAGTAATGGTAACTGTAACGTTCTTTACAAGGATATTTTTATTCGCTTTGAAATTTGACAAGACTGATAATGATGTTAACAGTTACTGCGGTACATTCATAATAATAGTATATTATTATACTGCACACTATATAATAAACTGTTGACTGCTGTAATCAATCTTTGATAGAGGTATAACACTAGATGCCAATAAAGCAAATGTTATTCGGTTTGCTAAGGTCTTATAGTACAGTGCCAGCTTGTCAAGCCTAGTGGCAAAGGCCTACCTTTCTTCTTATATGAATTTCATTTTACCATGTTTTAATGATGGCTAAATTATGCTTAATAATGATGATGTGCATTTTATTATTAGTGTAATATTAACCTTTTCTAATCAGCATTATAATGCTCAATAATTTGGCCACTTAAGCCCAGTGTTGATTTGAGGCTAAAACCCACTTATGTTTCAGCTAGGGCCTACCTTGAGCCGCATCTACTCTGCTTCCTCAGACCAGTGCCTCTCTCAGGCAAAGGCGCTCTGAGCTCGCCATGCCATATGCTTCAGCAAGCTGTATTGTTACTTGTGCCCCTGGCAGATTTTGTTATGTCAGCCAGAAAGTTGAATAAATATAATTCGGTTGAATCAGTATTTACCAATTGTTTCATTCTTTAAGGTTAATCATTCTAGAGAAGAAGAATTTTGAGAGTGGTGCAAGCAAAACAGATAACAAGGGAAGAGGCAGAAGCATAAAGAACTGCTCAGTCAATCTCCAAATTTATTTGATCCTGGGTGTAAAAGCAAGGCAGCAGCAAAACAGCAAACAAAGTACACGTCAAATGCGCCCAATGAT